TACGTTATTATTCTAGGCGCTCGCTATTCATGATCAGAAGCAGTCGTAGAAAGTTGTAGACCAACATTCTCTAATAGTTTAAGTGCCCAGGCTGAATAATGCAATAAAATAATTATAGGTCAACTTTTAATACATATACGTACATAATGGATTAACAACAAATAACATCACGCCTTTTATTTGCTAAGGGGTAGGCAGAGGTGTACATTACGGCACTTAATGTCACTGTACAATGTAACACCCATTTTTAATAGTGGGCCTATTGCCATATTTATACCAGGCATAATTCAAAACTACGTGCTACTATTGAGATTTTTTTAAAAAGCCCAACTATACTTTGCCCTACCCGGGAATCGAACCCGAGACCCCTTGCACAGCAGTCGCAATTGCGACCACTCGGCCAACGAGGCAGTCTTCATAACATAAAGTCATAAAGGATTAATTTTTACATTATTTTAACCTATGCACAATATTTAATTAAAAATATATAAAATTATATATTGATATTAACAATATTTTTACTCACAGGGTGTTCCTTCTTGAAATCTAACAGTTGCCTTTGGGCGGGTTGATATGTGACATTGACGTAATCATCACTTCTCACGTATATTATTACAAAAAGCAAATACACTAAAATCGTCTTCATGATGGTACCGAACGTGTGGACCTGTCTTTAAACTGACGACTTGACTTTTGCTTTTATACCGATTTTTAAACATTAAAAATATAAGGTATATTATTATACCTAATTACTGACCTAATCGTTTGTAGTAATAAATAATCATTATTACAAATAAGTAGGTACAACCGCTGTTTTTTTGTGACTTATAGCGTCGAACAAAAATATTGAAAACATTTAATTGACAGGAAGCTGGATTTACATATTATAAAACTGATTTATAAAATGGTTCTTCATATACTTACCTGTAAATCGATTATAAGTTAGTAGATTAAAAAGCAATAATTCAAGTAGTAGAGACGTGAGTTTTAAAAGTATGTATAACAAGGTAGGGTCAAAATATACTCCAATAGAAATTCGGATTTCTGTGTAATCATTAAGATGACTGTTTTAACTGCACTAACATTCTTGAAGAAAGGTGCTGATCAAAAATTATGGTTAAATAAAAATGAATCTTATATGTTGTGAATAATAATCAACTTTTGAATGAAACAAATTAGAGTATTTTTTTACAATTTTGACCCATCACTCCTGAGCAAAGGCTCTTCTCACACGGAGAAGGTTTGAGCATTAATCATGGCGCTTGCTCAATGCGGGTCGGCGATTACAAACTTATAATTAGAAATTATAAGTCCAGGTTTCCTCACGATGTTTTCCTTCACCGTTTGTCAGTGGTGTTTAAACTGTCAAACACGAAGCGGTCACCGGTGACCGCAACCTATTGTTCTATAATTGTGTCTGTAATGACGGTACTCGACGAGTTAAATAATCTTTAGAAAGTACATATAACTTGGAAAAAATCACATTGATCCTTGCCGTTGGCAGGTTTCGAACCCGCTCTCTCATGCATGAGAAACGGGCATCTTAAACTGTCAAACACCGCGAGGACACCGGTGACCGCAACCTATTGATCTGTAATTGTGTCTATAATGACGGTACTCGACGAGTTACACATCCGAAAGGCAGTAAAATAAAATAATATATCATGAAAACCTAAATTCACTTTTTTATAATTTAAAATGTCAGCTGATAAATTTAATACTTCCACATAATAAATTAAAAAAAGCCCTTCTCATGCCAATGGTTTAATAGTTATATGCACTTTTTTTATTTTCAAGAATCAACACATTTATTTAAGTATTTTTAAAACTAACAATACGACATAATAAGGTCATCGTAGACTTAACCAGCACGGTTCCAACACAACAATTACCCTGTCATTTAAACTGTCAAACACCAAGCGGTCACCGGTGACCGCAACCTATTGTTCTATAATTGTGTCTACAAAACCGGTACTCGACGAGTTAAATAAGAACTTTAAATAGTATGTCGTATGATATATTACATAACGTCAATATAAAAAAGCTGTAACGCGATAAATACATTATTCTGCCGTTTCCAAAGCAAAAAACGCCGTGCCGAAGCCGTGCATATTAATGTGTAATAAGCTTTAACGTTATTCCCATACAATACCACATCTACTTACTTTTGAAATTAGTATACCGAAATATTGTAAAAATTATAACAATATATGTGCTTCATAAAAATATATTTATTTATCTAAGACAATCTATATACTCCGTACGACACAAATAGGTGACTCCAGTTTCTAACGAATTTAGGGAAATCAACCCTTAGTGCCTTGTACTCCTCAAGGCACACATGCCAAATTTCAGCTCCTTTTTTAAGGGGCGAAAATCATCGAATAACTGCTCCCGCCTGGGTGAGGCGGGAGGGAGTGTCAGACTCTTACTTACTAAAAACCACCCCGTTCCTTCTCCTGCACGTCGAGCCGGAGCCCCGGTTACCCGTTAGGTTCTCCGCAACTCCGAAGCGGCATCGGCCCTATTTGGGACCCATCTGTGGTGGTCTGATGGCTCTTTGAGGCGCGGGACGCGCCGTACGCTCGGATCTGTTTCTGGTCGGACGGGGAGCCACCCATGCTCGCCGTCCGCAGGCCCGCAAAAAATTCAGCTCCTTAGGGCCCGTAGTTTTGACTGTGCGTTGTTTGTTAATCAATCAGTCATTAAGTAACGGAAGTGTTTTATTTATATTATATATTAGAAAAACTGACTGCCGAACAAGGGGTCTCGGGTTCGATTCCCGGGTCGGGCAAAGTATTACTGGGTTTTTAAAAAAAATTCTCAGTAGTAGCACGGAGTCTGGAACTGTGCCCGGTATATGGCAATAGGCTCACCCCCTATTACATGGGACTCATAACATAAATAGTGAAAAGTGGGTGTTACATTGTACAGTCGTATAATGCGCACCTCTGCCTACCCCTTCGAGGATAAAAGGCGTGATGTTATGTGCATTAGAAAAACTTAAAAACCCTCGTTTACCTTACTCTTTGATATTAAAAATTCATTGGTTTCAAACCAGATCGGGTTTTAGAAACTCAGAAGGCAGGGACATTTAAAGAGCACAACCATTACAATGCACTTATATTGTAAATATCGAAATCATTTTTTTTCATTTTTTTATTTGAAATATAAAACAAAAACAACAAATAATTATGCAAATTGACTTTCAAATAGATTACTATTCCCTCAACACCAAATACGCCGTCTCAATAACTTTCGAGTTCCCGCCATCTTGACTTTTTCATTTTTCGAACCACAGATTACATTTTCCCGCTACGCGATGACATTTCGTTTTTTTTTTAGGTATGATTCTAACAATATGTTAATTATAATCATACAGATTTTGAACTCATTATATAATAATTTTAATTTGAAACCACAGTTAGGTTTTGAAATTTTCTACTTTCTTACTTACTTTACTTTCTTTCTTACCAGTAGCCACTGTCAATAAAGAGATTATTATTATTATAGGTATAATACAATAATATATTATACTATCCGTATAGAATGTATAAAATCAATATTGCACCAATTGTGAACTCCCGCAACACCAGACGATTAAAAGTCATATGGAACATTTAACCGGCACGACTCCAACCCAGCAAATAACTTGTTATTTCAATTTGAACATTACATCTTATGTCATATGATATATTTCATAATATCAATCCAATTATAAATCGCGCGCCGACAGCTTACAACCATTTTGTATTGTTTCCAAAGCTAAATACGCCTTGCCGGAGCCGTGCTTGTTAAGAGTGTTATGACCTTCACAAGTGTGTTGCCGACCTTTTAAGGATTTTTTAAGGTGGGAAAATCATCTAATGACTTCTCTCGCCTGGGTGAGGCGAGAGGGAGTGTCAAACTCTTACTGACTAAAGACCACCCCGTTCCTACTCCTCCTCTTCAATTTACTGAACACGTGCCTCTTCAATGAAATCCGCTATCGCTGGTAACTTCTTTTTTACAAACTAGCTTTTAACCGCAGCTTTGCTCGCGTATTCTTGTTTTATTCCAGCATTTAATCGGGATAAAAAATATCTAGTCAGCCTTTGGTATACCCTGCCTGTGTGTCAAATGTCATCGAAATCCGTTCAGTAGTTTCAGCGTGATTGACGGACAAACATATTTTAAACAAAGAAGCTTTCACATTTATAATATTAGTGTGATAATCATCTATGTTTATTATAGCCAATAAAATGACACAATATCTAAAAGTTACTTTAATTCATTTCAAATTTACTGATGGAATGGGAAAGGAACAAAAATGAGAGGGAATCCTAGTCTAGAGAGTTCAAACTAAATTGTGGGATGTTGGAATTATGCAAAATATTTTAGCTCACACTAAATCAAACATATCTGAATGTGTTATTTCTACCCTAATGAAGAGTTCTAGGCAGTAATTCCCCTTCGTATAGGCATAAGCACAGTTTTAAGTACGAAAATTGTTAATAATAGGTGTTTAACAATTTTATGAGAATAGAGTATAAGTTACACTGGGGTTGACATATCCATGTGGATAAAAACCCGCTACTAAATAAAAGAGAAAAAAAAAATGTTATGGGTGAATTTCAAACTTACTCTAGTGGACAGTCTCACATGGGAATGCAGGAAACAAAATTTTCCTATGCAATAGTGTTATCACCAAATAAACACTTCGTTGGAGTAAAACTTTTAAGACTAAAGCTCATCTAAACAAGATCTTACCTAGCCAAATATTAAAACAACATTTAATTTAAAAAGAATGGCCAAGCCACTGTCGTCGACATTAGCGTACTGGTGTCGGTGTCATGTCAAAAGAATTACAGGGATGACCATCAAATACTAAAAAGTGTATTATCTACTTTAAATTACATGTTTCAATAATAACATTAGGAAAAAACAAGCCCAGATATGCAAAGAAAATCAATACAAAAATGAAACATTTATTCTGCAAAGATCAAATAAAAGCTTTATTTAGTTATTTCAAAACAATGAAATCGATTACATTTTCTATATTTAACAATATCAAGAAATGCTATTAGTGATGATCCATGAAGACATGCTCATGATGAATACCTAAACGATAAACACTTTTTGTGTCGTTATGTTTAGGAGGACCGTCTGCGGTTGGGTAATTCCTCTTAGGATTCACAGGCGGAAGAGATGTCGCTGCTTGCTGAGCCGCCGCTGCTGCAACCGCTACTTCATAAGCAGCCCTAGCACGTTTAGCCAAATCTTCATCAATCAAATGCAACATTTTAAACACTCTTTGTATCACCGGTGGTGTGACTGGCGCAAGAGTCACGGCAAGATTGGTTATAAATCTCTGTCTGTGAGCTTCGTCTTCCAGAATATAGTTATAAAAATACCATGCTGGTTCCAAATCGACAGCATTACTTTCTAATACTTGCAACTTCTTCCACGGTCTGTGCTCATCCACATATGGAGCCGGTCCATGGAATGAATTAGGAAAATAGTTGGGAGCGTTCTTCATATTAAGCCTAGTCGGTGGTCTTCCATCTCGTACATACGTCTTCTCGTACAATGGCATGTTTACTAAAATCTTATTATTGTTTCTTCCCACGCGATAATTTTGAGTATCCCTATAATTTGATCTCCTACCACGGAACAAAAAGTCCACTGGTCCAGGAATACCAGGTACTAAATGACCAGGATTATATACTGCTTGTTCGACATCTCTGAACTGATTTTCGACATTTTTGTTCAATACCAACCTACCAATCGGCACGGTGAAAAACGTACCATTCTTCCACAGCCTTGAGACATCGAATGGATCATAATCCAGTTTTTGTATGTCATGTGGCGTCATTACATCCATCTCCAGTTTCCATGCAGGATAGTCTCCTAAATCAATCGCGTTGTATAAATCTCTGGTAAAGTAATCCAGATCTACTGCTTGAATGGCGGCCGCTTGTGGTGTAGTGAGCGGTGAGAAACCCTGTTCAGTTCTAAAATTGAATCGGACATAGTGCGTCTCTCCATGTTTGTTTGCAAGTTCAAATGTATGAATGGGGAAAGCATCCATCTTTCTGTATCCATCGGGAATACCAAAATCAGACAATAACCAAAATAAGAAGAGAATAGCTGTTGGTTTTAATGTTACCTTATCATAAAGGCTCGTGAAATCGACCAAGTTAGTCTGAGGATTTCTCTTCAGTGCATGTACTATATCTAAAAATGACAATGGATCTCTGTATAGATAGACAGGTACTGATAAACATAAGATGTCTAAGTTTCCCTCTTGGGTGTAAAATTTGATGGATAGTCCTCTTGGTTCTCTACCAAGATCAGTGCCTCCAATGTTTTGTAATGCAGACGAGAGTCTAACGACTACCGGTGTTTTCTTCCCCACTCCATTGAACACATCAGCGTATGTATACTTGGAGACATCGTGTTTAACTTCGAAGTAACCAAAGGCTCCTGTACCTTTGGCGTGTACCACACGTTCTGGTATTCTTTCACCATCTAATGTGGAGAAATTATCAATAAACAACTGGTTGTTAAATTGATCGGAGTTAATTGATATGGTGTCACGAATATCAACCGGATCTCCTGCGTTTTTAGTCCAAAGTCCTATTGGGTGCTGAAATTGATATGTAAGAAGATTAGTTATGTCATATGAATTTTCTTCTACGTTATTATTCTTGGCGCTCGCTATTCATGATCAGAAGCAGTCGTAAAAACTTATAGAGCGATATTCTCTAATAGTTGGGCACATAGCCCAAGCCGAAAAATAATAATTTTAGGTCAACTTTTCATATATAATATACGTACATAAAGGATTAACAACAACATAAAATCACGCCCTTTATTCCCGAAGAGGCAGGCGGAGGTGAACATTATGGCACCTTAATGCCACTGTACAATGTAATGTAAAAGTAGGTGAGCCTATTGCCATATACCAGGCATAATTCAAGACTACGTGCTACTATTTTTTGAAAAAGCCCAACTATACTTTGCCCTACCCGGGAATCGAACCCGAGACCCCTTGCACAGCAGTCGCAATCGCGACCACTCGGCCAACGAGGCAGTCTTCATAACATAAAGTCATAAAGGATTAATTTTACATTATTTAAACCTATGCATGATATGAAATTTTAAAAAATAATATGTTAATGATTTATTAACAATATTTTTACTCACAGGGTGTTCCTTCTTGAAATCTAACAGTTGCCTTTGGGCGGGTTGATATGTGACATTGACGTAATCATCACTTCTCACGTATATTATTACAAAAAGCAAATACACTAAAATCGTCTTCATGATGGTACCGAACGTGTGGACCTGTCTTTAAACTGACGACTTGACTTTTGCTTTTATACCAATTTTTAAACATTAATAATGTTCCTAATTACTGACCTAATCGTTTGTAGTAATAAATAATCATTATTACAAATAAGTAGGTACAACCGCTGTTTTTTTGTGACTTGTAGAGTCGAACAAAAATATTGAAAACATTTAATTGACAGGAAGCTGGATTTACATATTATAAAACTGATTTATAACATGGTTCTTCATATACCTACCTGTAAATCGATTATAAGTTAGTAGATTAAAAAGCAGCAATCAAAGTAGTGGAGACGTAAGTTTTAAAAGCATGTATAACAAGGTAGGGTCAAAATATACTCCAATAGAAATTCGGATTTCTGTGTAATCTCATTAAGATGACTTTTTTAACTGCACTATCATTCTTGAAGAAAGGTGCGGATCAAAAATTATGGTTAAATAAAAATGAATCTTGTACGTTGTGAATAATAATCAACTTTTGAATGAAACAAATTAAAGTATTTTTTTGCAATTTTGACCCATCATCAACAGACTATAAATGCCCACTCCTGAGCAAAGGCTCTTCTCACACGGAGAAGGTTTGAGCATTAATCATGGCACTTGCTCAATGCGGGTTGGCGATTACAAACTTATAATTATAAATGATAAGTCCAGGTTTCCTCACGATGTTTTACTTCACCGTTTGTCAGTGGTGTTTAAATAATCTTTAGAAAGTACATTTAACTTGGAAAAAGTCACATTGATCCTTGCCGTTGGCAGGTTTCGAACCCGCACTCTCATGCATGAGAAACGGGCGTCTTAAACCCCCGAAAGGCAGTAAAATAAAATAATATATCATGAAAATCTAAATTCACTTTTTTATAATTAAAAAAGTCAGCTAATAAATTTAATACTTACACGTAATAAATAAAAAAGCTCTTCTCATGCCAATGGTATTAGTTATACGCATTTTTTATTTTCAAGAATCAACACATTTATTTAAGTATTTATAAAACTAACAATACGACATCATCCTTATGACCTTTCATAGTAGACTTAACCAGCACGGCTCGAACACAACAATTAAACAAGAACTTTAAATAGTATATCGTATGATATATTTCATAACGTCAATTTAAAAAATCTGTAACGCGACAAGTACCTTATTCTGTTGTTCCCAACGCAAAAAACGCCGTGCCGGAGTTGTGCTTATTAATGTGTGTATGAACTTTAAGGTTATATTATTCCATATTATTCCACATCTACTTACTTTTGAAATTACTATACCAAAATATTGTAAAAATAATAACTATATATGTATGTGCTTCATAATGATTATATTTATTTATATAAGACAATCTATATACTGAAGACAGGCTACATTTATACGGTATCTGACAGATAGTCAAATTCATTACTTTTATTGAAATGTCAAAAACGATACTTTTCTATGAATTTTGTATTGAATCGCAACTTACTTATGACGTCATCATATTTCTACGTCAAAAAGCATACTTATTCCTACAATTAGCGAGAAAGATTCCAAAAGTAGGTAAATTGTCAAATCAATGGATGTGCGTATGATTATTTTTTTAATTATTCATTGCATTGAAAAGTTGAAACAATTTATTTTAAACTTAGGAAACTAGCCAAGTAAAAATTACAAAAACATTTCCACATAATCCGATCCGACATCGGAATCGGACACCGATACCAGTGTCGGGGCAAGTTACAAAAGTTACATGAACAGATAGCAGTTGTCTTTATAATCCCATGATTGTCGAATATTGGACATCCTCAGGTTGAAATAAAAAAAAATATAATTTATAAATATTTTCTCGAGAGAATCAAAATCAAAAATTAAACATTAACATGCTATCAAAAAAAATATCGGTCGATCGATGTCATCTGGATGACCAAGCAGTACTCGGTGTTCTTTTAGTAAACAATATTTTCTGGGAATGAAACCTAGTTAGATCGATTTATCACATCGAAAATTGTTGGAGCCGTTTCCAATACCGTTGATATATATGTATGCAAGAATTGCTCGTTTAAAGGTTAATGATGATAGTCATGCTCTTGATGAATACCCAATCGATAAATACTTTTTGTTTCGTTATGTTTAGGAGGACCTTCCGCAGTTGGGTAATTCCTCTTAGGAGTCGCAGTTGAATCAGTTGCTTTGAGCGCTGCTTGCTGAGCCGCCGCTGCTGCAAGCGCCACTTCATAAGCAGCCCTAGTACGTTTAGCCAAATCTTCATCAATCAAATGCAACATTTTAAACGCTCTTTGTATCACCGGTGGTGTGACCGGTACAAGACTGACGGCAAGATTGGTAATGAATCTCTCTCTGTGAGCCTCGTCTTCCAGAATATGGTTATAAAAATACCATGCTGGTTCTAAATCGACAGCATTACTTTCTAATACTAGCAACTTCTTCCACGGTCTGTGCTCATCCACATATGGAACCGGTCCATGGAATGAATTAGGATAGTAGTTAGGAGCATTCTTCATGTTAAGTTTAGTCGGTGGTCTCCCATCTCGTACATATGACTTCTCGTACAATGGCGTGTTTACTAAAATCTTATTATTGTTTCTGCCCAGACGGTAATTTTGAGAGTCCCTATAGAACATTCTTCTACCGTGGAACAAAAAGTCCACTGGTCCAGGAATACCGGGTACTAAATTTGCAGGATTATATGTTGCTTGTTCGACATCTCTAAAGTGATTTTCAACATTTTTGTTCAACACCAACCTACCTATCGGCACGGTGAAAAACGTACCATTCTTCCACAGCCTTGAGACATCGAATGGATTATAATCTAGTTTTTGTATGTCATGAGGTGTCATTACATCCATCTCCAGTTTCCATGCAGGATAGTGACCTGAATCAATCGCGTTGTATAAATCTCTAGTAAAGTAATCCAGGTCTACAGCTTGAATGGCGGCCGCTTGTGGTGATGTGAGTGGCGAGAATCCCTGTTCAGTTCTAAAATTAAACCTGACGTAGTGCGTCTCTCCATGTATATTCGCAAGTTCATAAGTATGAATGGGGAAAGCATCCATCTTTCTGTATCCATTCGGAATACCATAATCAGACAATAACCAAAAGAAGAAGTGAACAGCTGTTGGTTTTAATGTAAATTTGTCATAAAGGCTTGTCAAGTCGAACAAATTAGTCTGAGGATTTCTTTTAAGTGCATGTATTACATCTATAAACGACAAAGGATCGTTGTATAGATAGACAGGTACTGATAGAGATAGAAGATCTAAGTTTCCGTCTTTTGTGTAAAACTTTATTGACATTGCTCTTAGTTCTCTGTTGAGTTCAGTACCTCCTATGCTCTGAAGTGCAGATGAGAATCTAACAACCAACGGTGTTTTCTTCCCCTTTTCATTGAACACATCAGCGTATGTATATTTGGAGACATCGTGCGTAACTTCAAAGTAGCCGAAGGCTCCTGTACCCTTGGCATGCACCACACGCTCTGGTATTCTCTCGCCATCGAACGTCGATAATGAGTCTATAAGCAGCTGGTTGTTGAATTGATCAGAATTAATCGTTATGGTGTCGCGAATTTCAACTGGATCTCCTGCATTTTTGGTCCATAAACCTATTGGGTGCTGAAAATAAAACTAAAACTGTGTAGGCAAGTTACGTGTACCCTTATATCATTAAAACCGAGTTATTAGTTTGCACATCTCAAAAAGTCATCAGACAACCAAGACTCTGACAGTTTATCACCTTATACAAGACGGGAGAAGTAATTTAATGATTTCATCCTCCCAAAAAACAGGATTGAAAGCATACCGGTAAGACAGATAGTCAAACAAGTCAAAAATTGGATAGACATAAGTAAGGACGAGTTTTACTTACCGGGTGTTCCTTCTTGAAATCTAATAGCTGCCTTTGAACGGGTTGATATGTGACGTTTACGTAATCATCACTTTTTACATGTATTATTAGACAGAGGAGATGCACTATAATCGTCCTCATGGTGGTATTGCTTCGAAACTCAGGCCTTCATTTTCTTATATACTGTAACCGGTAAGTAAATAATCGCCTATAAATCCATTATGATAATTATAATGAACAATATACTAACATACAGCCGTAAAATTTTTTTTTTGCTTGTGGCATCCATTAGTTAAATATATGCATACATAAATTAGTGCACGGTTCTTTATATTATTATTTATTAAAAACAATATATCATTTTTTTAACATTTATTGCTAATTTTGCCAACAATTATTCATTTATTAATTGGAAAGAAACTCAATACAAACTTTCCAGGCACAACATGACCCAGGTGGGTACGATCAAGTAAATTTTTTGAGAGGTTTCAAATCATAAAATGCCTCCGCCACCCTTTGTGACGCGAAAGAAAAATATTCTTATTAACTAAAAACCACGTTCCAACAAAGGACCCGGATTACCAGAGCTACGATTCGACATGCAGGAGAAGGAACAGGGTGGTTTTTAGTCAGTAAGAGTCTAACACTCTCTCTCGCCTCACCCAGGCGGGAGCAGTAATTCGATAATTTTACCTACCTCTGCGGTCATAGCCTGGTTTGAAGATTCACATTTTTGTAGATGGATCAAAATACAGACACTATAATTCTATTCTATACCATTATTTACAGTGAATCCTAAAAATACGACGCGTAAATCAATAAATCATCATTTATCGAGGAACTTACTTAAATCTAATTTTTTTATATGTATAAACAACAATGCAGGTTAATTTATTGCACTTTAGCTGCGCCCGCGGTTTTGCTCAAGCCATATAATAAGAATATTTACATAATTCTGAAAATCAAAGTGAAACACTCGTATACTCGAAACCCTTTATCTGGAAAACGCCAAAGGGCAAATGAGGTGCAGGGTTAAAAGTGTATTTTTTTAAGATATTGGTTAGGTTAGGTTAGGTTAACTAAAAATCCCAGGTTACTCTGAGTAACCTGGGATTTTTAGTTAACCGTAAAAACAGTCCACAAAGTCTTACAA